CGTGTTGCTTGCGGAGATCATGTTGGTTTACTGAGAAAAAAAAAGGGATGAGTCAAAATCAGACAGAACTGAAATGATGATAGCATCATTATAAAAATAAAAGATGACTAGAATTGCTCATTCTACCGTAATAATGCTGACTGAAACTTGGTGGCCGTAATCTGCTGAAAAGCTCTAATGGGGTAAGAGAAGATGGTTACTTCACACTGTTACAATTTAGAAGTCACCAATAATGCAAACTGCAGTAAGCATATTGACTTTTTCTAAGCACCTAAATGAAATCTATGTTTGGTTCTCTGACTTTCCACCCTTTCAAAGCGAAACTGATCCAAATTTGGATAAATTCCACCGCTGCTTTGACCGGGCTGTTGAGGCTGGGTCCGGTCCAGATACTGCACAGCTCCGCGTGGATTACTTCTGGTGGGGTCAGCACTGGTTGGGAACTGGTCATCATTTTCTATTGTTTGAGAACATTATATACTGAACTTTTTTTTTCATTTTTCAGTTGATATACAATGACTTCAAAATGTTTGTTTAATAGTGAGGAAGAGAAGAAAAAGATGAATAAACTCACCATAAACAAGATCATGAGTGTAGGGTCTTACTGCCTGTGGTACATGTACATGCACACCTACTGGTATGTTGATTGTTGTCACGGGTGGGGCACTGGGACCTGCAGTGAAACATTAGCAGAGTAACTGAAAGAGCTCTTCTGTTTGGTTCTGCTAAACATGAAGACAGCTTCACAAACAAAAAAGGGATGAATTAAATATGCAATTAACTGTCAAAGAGTGAATAAATGGTTGAAATAGCACCTTTAAAGTACGTTGGTTAACAATTGACCTAACAGTTACTTAATGATATTGATTAAAAACATCAAATTATTTTGTAAAACTATAAATGAACAGCTGAAAGGTAGTACACAGTCTATGATTTGATAGATAAAGACATGTTTTGTAGTTTTACCTCTGTATAGTGTGTTATGTATATTGTTGATATTATAATGCAAATTCACATGAACATTAAACATAATGGATAGCCATGAAAGTGATACTTGTATATGTATTTTATGCATCTGTCATACAATTTTAAACAGTAAGAAAGTAGTTAAATGATTTTAAAGCAAACGTTATTCTCTGTGAATACAAATTTCAAATGTCTTCTAGTTTACATCGAACAAATGAACATTACTGGAGTGACACAGAGTTGAAATTGTTGCTTACCCGGAGCAGCTGCACTACTGGGAATGACCGTACTCTTCTCTACTTTGCTGTTGCTTTTGTTGTTACGGATATCTACAACAGAATCAAAAAGTGAGTTCAATATACAATGAGCCTCCTAAACAATCACTAAAACACTCAGCTTTGACTTTAAATTTCAGACAGAACAATTCTCACCTTTGCATTTTTTGTAAGTGTAGTAGCCACCAGTACCCAGCAGAAATAGAGCAGTCACACCAGCACAGATGTAAATCACCAGCCATGGGATTTTTGTACCTGCATGAAGAGTTGCGGTTTAACAAGATCTATATCACAGGAAACAGAAACTTATTTATTTGTCCTTTTCGTGTGTGCTGGGTCTTGACATTTGTCATCCAAGGACAGAAGAAACAGTACAGGCCGCTGCTTAATATTGAATAAACTTAAAATCTACAAATAAAAATCCACTTACCTATTTCATCCAACACCACTAGAACACATTTTCCCTCCTCCTGTATACAGTGGTAAAATCCTATGTCAGCCTTTTCAAGATCATCAATTCTGATAGAGTAGTTCCCCTCTGAGCCCTGGTTTGGAAAGACTTTCACTCGGCCATTTCTGGGGTCCAGGAATGTAACGTGCCCTTTTGATGAGAGATTGAGCAATTGCCCTGAGCCACTGTAGTTCCACGTCACCCATTTGAACTTGCTTGTTTGAATGTTGCATGGTAGAAGCACAGATGAACCAAGTGGAACCTTCAGTCTGTGCTCTTCACCGATTTCTCCTAAATGTTCAGAGGATTCTTCATCATAAAGGGAAAAATGAAACAAAAGAGAAAGTTTAGGTCACTCCGTTAAAGGATGTGGATTTCTGAAATGTAACTAAGTGATTGTGACAAAGACTAATAATGTATAAGTGATAACCTTAATCATGCTTTTTAAAACCATTAACAATCTTATATGGCCCACCCACAAACAGGTAAAAAAAATGACCCTGTGTTACTATATCAAGGAGAAAAAGATCTTTTATGCAAATGTTAAAATAAAGTTAAAAATCAAGCAGATATACTCTTTAAAATGCAGATAAACAACAGTTTAGTTAAGTTTAAGCCAAAGTTGAACATTTCCTTTGTGTTTTCTTCAGGTGTTATGAGTGATCTTAAGATCGCTTCATCTTTAGAAAAGAGGTTGCTGGTAGACTTTAGATCGCTGGAAGTTTACCTTGTTTCGTTTTCAGAATAGTTTTAATAATATTTAATAATATTATTATTTTGTGAATTTGCTCTGCAAATACCTTTGCATGACATAGAGTTCACCTTTTCTGCAATAAACACAAGTTGCCATGTGTCACTGTCAGAAAAAAACACATTGTCCCACCTCCGCACTGAGGTCTGGTTGGAATCCCTCACTGGTCATTCAGACCAAGTTTATTATTTAATTTAATTCTGTGGATGTCTCTTTTTTTAAATGTCATGTCCCAGTTTTGCAACTGGTTTTAACCAGCTTGCTCTAAGATAGTTTATAGAAGATTTTACCCTAACATGATAGTTAAGTGATAGTTTAACGGTCTAAATACATTAAGTATACTTCTCATTGGCCAGATTCTGAGCTCTTCAGTCAGTAGAGTCAAATATTTACAAAAAGAAAAGAAAAAGAAAAAAAAGAGAGAATTGGAAGAAAACCTGACAGACTTATGTTGACATATATTTTCTAAACATTACATTAAAATTGGTTATTATTTTTTACATTTTTAACATTATATTTTAAGATTTCTTAAAAAAACAAAAAACTTACCATTTGAAGACACACAAGTGAAGCACAGGGCAAAAAGGAGAGTCCACCTGGCAACGTGCATCTTGATCACCATCTTGTACAGTGTGAGCAGCACCCTGACGATGATATATTAACCTGTTCAAGCATCACGGAACAAAACCACAAGACCACCAGTTTCACTTCTTTGAAGAAATTCTTTATATTAACTACAGCCAGATTAACGCAACCATTATTTTAACTGAGCAGCAGTCATGAAAAAAACCCCAAATTAAACCAAATGACTAAAAAAACATATCTTTCAAACAGTGATAATGTACTTTTGACAGACAGCAGAAAGGACCTGATGCAAAAGTCTGCTTCAGACCACTTCCTGTGGAAATGATGTTGATGTTTCCGGAGTACGAGACACAAAGAAAGATAAATATATGAAGTGATCATTGTCATGTGCAATGTCACATGCAGGTTTTCTTTTAATCAACATAAGATCCGAGTGTTGTGTTTTAAGTGAATTGGTTAATCAAAATTTCAGTTACTCAGCAATAGACAAAGACTCTGAGATGGGCCATGCTGTACATCAGATTTAAATTTTCATATAAAAGTTCTAATATTAATCTATTATAGAGTATACTTTAATATAACTATCATGGTATAACATTGTGTAAGTTCACATTTTGTTGGTTGCTTTTGTAGAATTGTTTAAATGTACATTAATACTTGGTGTGGTTTGGTAAACTGTAAGTAAATAAAGGTCACTGCCTCTGTCACTCAAATCCACGCCTCTGCAGTGTTTTGTCATGGTTTAAGGTTTCACAAGGTTGGGAAAGTTTCCAAGTCAGTCAAGGTTCAGTGCCACCTCAATTCTAATTTTGCTGATTCTGTTTTGAGAATTCGTGGGTTAGGATTATATTTAAATATGTCTAAGGTGTTTTTCTGTCACTGTGTGATATGAAATATCAGTCTATATGAATTTAAAGAGCTGGCAAACAACAGATTCACAATTCCAAAATAAAGGGACTTCATCTATCAGGTCTTAGGTTAACCAGCTGAAGCCATGTGTGTTTCCTTTAGCTGTCACTGGCAGCTGTCCTTAGTTTTTGACTGAAATAAGTCCCACAGGGTCACAGGAGTCCGACCTTAACATAAAAACAGTCACTTTCATCACAGGAAAAGTTGGATTTCAGGCCCTTTTATCAAACATTTGAACTTCTTTGGTACCTCTGGACATCATACCAAAAAATATAAAAATATATAATAGCTAATAGATTAAAAAATAAAATAAAATGTCAAACGGTGTAGTTTAAAACCATAAGTAACTAAATAGTATAGTATATAGCTATAGTGCTGAGAAATGTGTTTTTTCACCTCCCACTGGCTGTTTACTGTAAAAGCTTGTGCCGAATCTCTCATTTAAAGAAAATGTCATGTGAACATTGTCATCATAGTTTAGCCTGCCACCTGCAGGCTCTCAGCTATTCTACAAGTCATAATTTGTCTACAAAATGGAGAATGTAATTAATACAAGACATAAAAGTTGGGCCAGTACTCCAGTATCTAATTAAATTTCTGCCAGGTAGCATTTAAGTATTTCTGTAGTTCCACCCAGAACTAGCAAAGTGTACCCAATAAAGTGTCCACTGAGTGTATATATTTATTTTCTATTCCATCCATTGTAAGGATCTATGTTTCACTGGGTTTTCCACGTTTAAACAATAGTGACCCAAAACGTCATCATTTCGTTTTGACAGCTGCGCTTGCAGTCCTTCCTCGGAAGATTGTAGTTTCACCTTGGCAAACGTCATCAACATGAGACGCCGAACGAACGCCGCGGTTCTCTTACGCCCTTACAAATTCTCCTTCGCCGTTTTCCGTAACTCATGTCACTTGGCATGGAGGTCAAATAAAGTGTTTAAAAATGAGATAGGATGTAATTTATTTATTTAACTTTTCCGCAGTGCCTGTGTTGCCCGGAAATGATCGAGCACAACTTCCGCTTTGTAAACCAATCAACTTTGCCTATTTTTCAGATGCGCGTATACGTGTAAACGGATTGGCTGGTTCAATTTTCTTCGTCTCTTTTTGAATTTGGTGGTAGTTCACATGGGACTGTTTATTTTCTACCAGTAACTCTATGTTCTGTAGACAGGCAGGCGTGTCTTCAGACACTAATAAGCTACACTATAGACTACTGCTGTACAAGTGGCAAGAATTGCTAACCTTTAAGGTGAGTCACGATTTTTACTACCGTTCGACTTAATAGACGTTACTGAACCCTTTGGCAGCTCTATTTCGGCGCAACAGTAGGTCGGCAGCTGGTGTTTTAAAACATTATGGTCAAAATAACTTTGCTGAAACATAGTGTAGATATTATTGTCAGGTACTTGTTAAGTAGTAGTAGTTAAAAAATGTCGTGCAACAATGTTAATCGGTGCTAATTGGATAGCTTGCAAGTATTTAACATAGCTTTTTGTTTTATAGTTTCCTGAGTGCAAATCCCTTTTTTGAATAAAGGGTCAGCCAAGATGGAGATGAACTTGGCTGTAAAGTCTTTACTTTCCTGGGTAAGTTGAGTTATGTTAGTGGACATTACGGTGAAATGATTGCACTAATGTTTAAAGTTTTAATCACCCTTTTTTGTTTTGTTTTTTTCTCTCCAAACTATAATTTTATAGGTGAACAGTTTAAAACTCCGTGACTCAGAGCTGACCATCGATGACTTGCAGGACGGATTGATCTTACTTAGACTTGTTTATATGCTGTAAGTATGCTGGCAATGCGGTGTAATGTTTAGCCTGTGTAAACAGGGAGTGTCAGCGACTGACAGGGTGTTAAACGTGTTGGTTGTGTGCTTTTTGGAAAATATAGAGCTCTTACTTCCTTGCAGTAAACCTTTATTTTATTATTGTCAAAGGAGCTTGCAAAGAAAAGCGTCTGGACTTCTTAAGTTACTTGAAGACGTTTCACCTCTCATCCGAGAAGCTTCCGAGAACCTCTCTGAAGAAGCTTCTCGGATGAGAGGTGAAATGTCTTCAAGTAACTTAAGAAGTCCAGACGCTTTTCTTTGCAAGCTCCTTTGACTACGATGACCTGGATGACTGAGAACCTTCACAGACATTTATTTTATTATATTTTTCTTCTTTTTCTTTGTCATTTTAGGAAAAAGCAGCCCATCCCCTGTCTAAATGATGCAACTGAGGATCGGTTCAGAGTCATTGCAGAGTTTCTAGAAAGTGAGTTTCTTTCTGGAGAGACTTCTTAAAAGAGTGTCTTTTTGTACGAGTGTGATATTAATACAAGATATATGTAATAAAGGCTCCAGCTGGTGAATCACAGCACTTTAGCTTATTGAGGCTTATGTTGTTCCAAACCAATGACTGAAGTACATATGATCAAAGGGGATTTCATGGTCTGATTGGGCTTAAACCGCTTTGTATTTCAGAAAGTGTTAATGTAGGAACTTGGAGCCCATCCTTACTTTAAACACATTGTTTTCTCTCCCTTAAATAACAGATATTTTGCACCTTTGGACACACCCTGCATTCCTGGGTGGGATCCAGATTGTGTCCTGGTAGATGGACTACTACTTATTTAACACTTTTCTACTGTTACAGGGCGTGTTTTAGCCTACAAGCCAAATTCACTCATTCATATAACACACATTAACTCTAGTGGATAAGTGTTAGTTTGGGGTTTAGTGTCTTGCACAAGGACGCTTCAGTATGTGAGCAACTGACCTTCATGTTTAAAGATCATTGGCTTTTCTTCCTGAGCCTCACTGTAAAACTTCCTCACTGGTACCATTTTTATTATAATGGGAGATAAATATATTACTGACCTGAGCATGTGTGTGTTTTGTTGTTTAGGGGACTGCAGATTTAATGCAAGCAAGAGCTCTTCTCTGCGTTGGGACCACATTAGAGATGGCATCAGCCTAACAGCTGAAATTTCAAAGGTAAAAAACTTCCTTTATTTTTCATATTTCTTTTCAAAGGCCCAAAGAAAACACTTATCATACTTTTTTATTGCAACATCACTAGGTACTTTTGTTGCTTGTATACCATGATATGATGAATGACCACTGCACTCTGAACATGTTGGACTGCGATGTGGAGGTAAGCTGGGAGCTGCTGGTGTATTGTGGTCACACTTATACATCTCATCTCATTTCTCATGAGTTGCTTTGTGCTATTATTTTAATTCTGTGTGTATTTATTTAATCCCACTCTGCTAGCGGGAACTAGCACACCTAACTAGTTCCTTTGTGATGGAGAGTGAGGGTTGTGTTTATTTGAGCGAGGAACTTGACGCTCATCTGAGAGGAAAACGTAAGTCACAAATATGTCACTTTTGTTTTTCCCCTCCGAGGTAGACTGTAATAAGAAGTCTTTAGCAAAACAAACAAACTAACTGGCTTGACTCTATTGTGCAATCTTTGTCTCAGATTTGACTTTCTCTCAAGAAATATTTGAGCAATCAGCAGCCACCTCTGGTACCAATATGTCAAGCATCTCTTCCTTCTTGGGTGATGAGTCTCCTTTCTTCCACCGAAACAGTAGAATTAAATTTGTGGACATAGAAACTGTGGCTTCTTCTTCAGTCAGGTACCAGATATGACTTAAATATTTTCAGGTTATGTTGCAATATTCATTTTTATTCAGTTTTATGGGTTATGTTAATCCAAACTTCCTTGTATTACATTATCTTATAATATACATGATGAAAATCCACAGGTTGTCATCATTTCGTTGAAAATCTTTACCTTTCTGATCTGCTTAATTCACACAGCAGTTCTCCTCTGGAGGATGTAATGAACACACCGAAATTTCAGCTGAGGAAAATGCAGCGACAGATGATCAAGGAGCGAGACTATCGAGATAGTTTGGAGAGGGAGCTGGCCAGCAAGATTGCGCTCATTGAACAAAGAGGTACTATCTGTTGAATGTATGGTTTGCATTTTGTTAGACTTGAGAAATGGCAAAATTCTTGTTAAAGCACCACTCATATTTGTCTAAGATTATCTGCATTTTCATTTAAGCTTTTTATACTTGTCATGTTTTCAATAGACTTTGCTTCGTGCTTTGGTTTTCTTTCTCTCTCTTTCCCAGAGTCTCGCATTAACCAGTTGCAGTACCGCCTGGATAAACTAAAGGAAGAACAAGGTGATCAGGAGCATGTTACCAAAGAACAAATTAATGAGCTTGAGATCAAGAACAATGAGTAAGTACCCAAGAGCAGTGATTTATGAACCTATAACTAGGGATGGGAATTGATGAGATTTTCACGATTCCGATTCCTTTTTCAATTCTGTTTAACAACTTGATTCTTTATCGATTCTTGTTTTTAAAAAAGAAGAACACACAGGTCGATTAGCTTATAACTTTGTTTTATATCTTCTCTTTGAACAAGATAGAAATTTAGGAGTAACATGGCCATACAAACCTAACAGTGAGATCTTAAGAGATTCACAGCCTAGGCTTCCAGTTAATTGAAACAGTGGGAACTGGTTCTCAATAAGAACCGGGATTCGATTCCCATCCCTACCTATAAAATCATCATTTTAATATCACAACCATAACATCTAATTTCTATCCACAAAAGTTACACAATATTTTGTCATCATGTTGCCTAGCAACCCCCTAACAACAGACTACATTCTGTACAACAGACTAATAGTCTGTACTTCTAGACCTTTGTACAGAAGTGTTTTAAAGTAAATTTTTTATTTATTTATTTATTTTCCAGCTTACAAAAGCGTCTTAATGAGATGCTGAAGCAAAATAAAGACCTCAAGACAAACACTTCACTCATGGAGCGCAAAGTGGATGAGCTTGCAGATGAAAACGGTGTGCTTTCTTCTCAGGTAATAACATGCAAAATATTCTGGGTTTTTTTGTTTGTTTGTTTTTAAGTTGTTGTTTGTTTTGTTTTGTTTTTTTCTTGAGGGTCTCTTATTTACACTAAAGATCTAATGAACGTGTCTGCTGTTATGGCTTCCAAACCTTTTGAGGCAAATCTGTGATAGTGAATTCTCACTCATGACAGGATTCAGTAAAGGTCATGTGCATTTCATGTTTCTGGAGAGTGTTTCACTAGTAGAAACCTTTTAAAGTATTGAGGAGTTTTTTGTGTCAGTTTTGAGATCAAAACATGGATTTGAAAAACCTTTTTATTTTTTAAAAATTTTCTCAGGTGAGAGCTGTGTGCTCACAGCTTGCCGCCTTTGAGACAGAAGTTGGTAGACTGACGGAAAGTCAAGCGTCTGCTCAGGAGGAGTGGAGAAACAAAAGAAACCATCTACAGTCTGAGCTCAACCAAGCAACTGCTCAAAAGGTGTAGATTCACAAGATATATTGTTTAACATGCATTCCTGTGTCATTCAGAGAAATCTGAATGCAAAAAGGACAATGAATAGGAAACATCATGTCTGTTAAAGACTCAGAAGAAAAGCACATTTAAATGCTCATGTCTGCCTATTTTATTATAAATAAAGAAGAGTAGTTATATTAGATTTGTGTTGACTGTAAGTAATCTTATTTCTCCATTGATCTCATTAAATGTTGGGTTTTATACAAATTAATTTACTGTAAGCTGCTCCCTTTCTCATTTCTCAGGAACTCCTTACAGAACAAATTCAAATCCTTCAAGGAAAGATTTCCTGTTTGGAGGATGAAATAAGCAAGGCCAGTAAGGATGAAGTTGGGGAAAATATGGGACCCATAGTAGAGGTAATTATATGTAAAAGCTAACAATTTTAAAAGCAAACTTAATTGAAAATATATAAAATATAAAAAATGTATAAAATATTATGGTAAGCGATAAACATCTTGAATTGTTTATTTTCAGTTTAAGTTTGGAAATTTTATTTTCTACTTAATTGATTATAATTGTTGGTTCTTCTTAAATTGCCAGAGAGAAATGTTGGAGACTGAAATCAGGGGTTTGAAGAATGAGCTAGAGACTACACATTTCTCCCTGAAAAAGGCTGAGCTGGAGATTCATGCTAAAACTCAGCAACTGGAGGAATGCCACCAAGAAATTAAGGAGATACATGAGCAGAGGGGAGTTCTTCAGGAAGAGATCCGAGTCCTTAAGCTTCAGCTTGAGCAGGTTGAGCAGCAAAAAAATGAGCAGACAGACAGGCTACAACAGCATATTGCTGCTTGTGAACAAGAAATTAAAAAACTACAGGAAATTAAGCAAGCAAAGGAAGATCTTCTTCATCAGACTGAAGAAAAGGTGAACGATCTTGAGACAAAGTTAACTGCTGCTACTTCTCTGTTGGCTGTTAAAGAGCAACAAATTAACAGTCTCAAAGATGAAGTTGACATTCTTACAGATGAAACTAACAAAAACAAAGATGAAATTCAAGCCAAAGAAGAAGAGCTTGCCAAGTTACTTCTTGAGAAGTCTAATGTGCAAGAAACTCTGAGTGACAAAATCCAGATCTTAACAGCTCAAGTGGAAGACCTTAGTTCATCTCTCAAACAGGCAGAGCAGGAAATTCACATGAAGCAAGACTTACTGGATAAAACCGCACAAGAGAATGTCCAACAAATAGAGCTACTTCAACAACAAAGTGCTGAACATATGGAAGCACTCGAGAAGCAGAAGACAGCATCTCGAGAAGAAATCAAGAGGCTAAATGCAGATATTCATGCTAAGGAAGAACAGATGGCTCGGCTAGAGACTGAGGCCTCTACACGCTCTGCATTGTTGCAGCAAGAGCTTGATGATCTGAACAACCAAATAAAAAGCATGACCCATTCTCTTGAGATGGCCAAGGACCATGCTCAAGCCAGAGAAGCTGTAATGGCCAAACAGCAAGAGGAAAGCACTTTGCAGATTGAAGAGCTTGGGAAACACATTTCAGTTCTTGAAGCAGAAGTGAATCGACTGAAGCAGGAAATCCAGACTAAAGAGGCTGAGGTAGATGAGATGAAGACCAACAACTACATGGA